GTGCACAGCTTCCCATTCACTCATCGCATATTACACGCTGACTCGGAGGTCTTGAACGTCAATCACTCCGCATAGCAACACGGCAGCATAGCAACTAACTGGCCAATGTCCGGAGCAAACAAGCCCTTATGTAACACCCACAATGGGGGCTCTATACAGAGCGGGCGGCGTGGCCGCAAAACCGAAGGGTCAATGGAAGTTGCTTGTGAGGGCTAGACTCGCCACGGGACACCCATTTTATGGGGTTCAGGCGTTCAGAAAAAAAGGTATGAATTTTTGAAGACTTTTGAAAAACGAAAATATGAAAAAACCGCCCAGCAGCGCATGTAACGGTTAAAACAAGCACCCAGCAGCAAGTGGATAGGGCACAGCTGCTTGAGGAGATTGCATTACCGTCTGTTGTACCATAAATGATGCGGAGAAAGTCACACGATCCGACTACCCACCGCTATTGGTAAGTGCTTCGGGTGTGCGAGTGATAACCTGACAATTTTTCATTTCCCCCGGTCCCATAATTTAATCCGTTTCATCTGTTTTAATCGGTTTTGGTCTGAATTAATAGCTCTGAACATTTTCTAAAACAGTACAGTCAACATCTGTACTTTGCTTGTCGCCAGTTACTCAATTATAAAACCATTCGCAATGAAAATAGGAATTCTGAACTGCCAGGGATTGAATACTATACGCCAGCTGAATTCTTGCAATACTAAAAACGCACTTCAAAGGAGAAGGTACGAAAACTGTGTAACATCGACAAAGAGTAAGAAACATGTTAACCTTTATTGTGGAACACAGGCGTCATCATATTACGGTATAGGTTTCGTCGTACCAGAATTAACAAGCTGCATGTCCAGTCAGGAATGTGAGTTACCCAGAGCAGCCATAAGAGTCACGAGACACAAACGTGAGTGGGTCTATCATCAATGCTCATGCCTCGACACAGGCCCGATGTAATGAGGACCCACGGGTCAGGGCAGACTTTTATGACCAACTTTGAATAGAAAAATCGAGTAATGGTCCATATACTCTCATGGCTGTTGATTCAATGCATACTTTGTCGGCATTCTATACCCAGAGGTAACTGACAAACTTGGAAAAGGCTGGATCAACGAAAATAGTACATACTTACCAAAACTGTGCGGGAACACGAACTTGTCATAACCAACAGACGTATGCGTGTCCAGAGACGGGATATGAATAGTGCAGACCTCAACCCTAAAAGAAACTTTAACGAATTGGCTATAACAATTTAGTTTAATACATCTCTGACACAATTTATGTTAACAGTGTAGGGTGCTGGCAGAGTATGCGCTGGCCAAGCGTCACTGTAACAATATACCCAATAGTGCGTAACTTAATACACAATAGGCAGCAGCGCGGGACTGGTGGACTTTTCTACAGCGTCAGTGCGCCTACCATGCCACGTAATTAGTGCTACGCTAGTGTAGGTGGGAGTCTGGGTTTGAACTGAATACAGTGTTAAAGGGTGCAGTGTCCCAATTCAAGGAAAATTCTCCGCCAGGCCGAGGCGCTCAAAAAGTACCCCCCAGAGATTGTTTCGAAAAGAGGGGTCTGTT